CACAGGGACTGTGGGATTCTGACTCTGAATTTAAAGGATTTCAGGGCCTCACAAGATTTTAAGTTGAAAACACAAACACAAGGTGACAGCTACTCCATGGGGACTCAGCTGTGCTTTTGTACTGCACCAGAAACTTGCAGAAATAAATGTAAATTCATATTTCAAACTACAACACAGAATTTACTTGATAGGCTTTTTCAAACCTCAGATAAACAAAATAATGCATAAAAAATTTGACAGCACAAACTGAGAAATGTTAAAGACTATATGCTTCAGTTTGAATATTTTTTTTTTCAATTCTTGTTCAGTTGGTTTATCTTTTTACCTGACAAACACTGCATGAGCAAGTGAACTTCCTTAAAAGAACTGAAATGCATTTTATATTCACTGCTGTGGTTAAAATGCCTTCCCCAGGTTGAAAGAATTCAGATCATTTGTTTCAGACAGAGATAAGGGCCTGACATTTAACCCAAGCCCAGGTGCATGTGGTTTCTTCAAAAATGTCACAGGGTCACACAGCCTCCATCTATGAAGGCTGAAAAACAAAATTTAGCTGAGGATCTTCACTGAAATGGCATCAAATCCTCAGCGTGGGCCTGAAAGTGCTGCCTAAAAATATTGCAACACTTTTGAATTGGAAAAAATGCAATACTTAAAAAAAAATCTTATTAAAATGCAACTCTGATTTACATTTGATTTTAATTAAGGCCTTAACACCCTTGAACAATCACTGCCATATTTAGGGTCTGTTATTTAAATATATTTCAGAATAACAAGTTCTGATGGAGCTTGGAGCACAGAACTCACCTTGCTGAGCCAGAGTGGATCTCAGCATTCCAGTTTTAGACCAGATTTTCACTTGGCCATCTTCCCCAACTGCAAATGAGCACAGAAATCAGCAAATTCCATGCAATAATCAGTCCAAAAATGTATTTGTATTTTACTCAGGAAACACTTGAATTAAAACAAATACAGCTTTTCTTACAGGTGAATTCCTTTTGTTTAGTCTTCCAAACATGCAATAGGAAGTATATGAAGGAAAAGTATTTAAGATTGTCCTTTTGTTATTATCGAGAAATTCTCCTTTCCTGAAAATCCCTGAATTCTTTTCTGAAGCTGCTCCCAGGAAGGGAAAATCCATCATTATTGAAGCATCCCAAATTCTGTATTTTTGATTCCTTCAATGGCCCAGAAGCTGCTTAAAGGAGTCTGAGAAGGCCCCGGGGAGCAGGAGCAGATTTGGTGGATGAAACTGGAGATTTCACAGCTGACAAATGGTGGAAGTGAAGAAAACTCTGTTTAGATGTCTCAGTTTTCTACCATAACTGTGTGTTACCCAATCATCCAGTTTATTTATTGAAGAATTCGCTGCTCAACACTACACAGTTAGGGCTGCTGTAACAGCACACAATTCCTGGTGTGGTGTCAATTTTAAAATGCTCTGGTCCTCCCATTTAGGCCTCCCAGCTCTAATTAATGAGGAAAAAGATGCACCTATAAATGAATGGATTCTTCCATTCAAATATAATTTATTTACCACATTTCAGGTTTTTATATCTGGCCAATTTTGTTTCAAAAGTTTAAAAATAAATCTCAACAAAATTAACAAAATTAAAAATCTTATTTGTGCACATTTGATGCTATTGAAATATAACCATAAAAAAAATTGAAGTAGTGCAGTAGCAATGATTTATTTACTCTTCCTCCAAGTACAAACTGGAAGTGGTGATGAATTCCCACACTCCCCAAAAAGTGTCAGTGTCATGCAGTCTCATTAAAAAAAAAAAAAGGGTTTCAAAAGACAATTTTGACTTTGTCTTTGGAGAAGTTCCTGAGGCAAAGCTGTCTTTAAAAAGAACAATATTTGTGTCCCTCTGGGATTCCAGAGGAACAGGCCAGACAAGAGTTCCTTGAAGCAGCATTTCAGAGGCTGGAAATGAGCAGATCCAAAATTATCTTCAGTTCTTGTGGCCTGAGCTGGAACGTGGCCAGAGGAATCAGCTGTGCTCCATCAGCAGGAGCTGACACACCAGGAAACCCAGCAAGGAGCCCAGCACAGGCATTTCAGCAGCTCCCCCAAAACCAGACAGAATTTGGGAGGAAAAACGCCAAAAGGAACTCGTTAACCAAAGATTGAGGACAAAAAATGGTGTAGAGATGAGGAAATTGTGGGCTCACTTCCCTAGCATTAATATAAACAGGCTGTAGGTGAGAATTACTGATAATTAAGGGATAAAGCACAGGAATAGTCAAGATCAATGAGCCTTTCTGGCTAAAAAAACCCAAATCTGCAGAGATAAATGTACCATAAATGTATCAACTTAGCAACTTTTTCTTGTAGCAGATAGAAAAGAAAGAAATCAAATATTCTCCTTTCTGAAGTACAGAACAGCCACAAAACCATCTAAGCACTCTGGTATTAAAATACTTACTTTCAATTGGATTGGATGACTTAAATGAAAAAAGAAAAATACTTTTACTAGATCTATTAATTAGAATGGACAACACTAAGCTAAAATAGCATTAATTAAATAGTACAAAATGAACTCCTAGTAAACAAGGTGGTAACAACCTCTGATAATTAAGACCCAAAAAAAGTAGATTATTATTTTAGTTTTCAAAGCACTTTATTAATACAGGAATGCTCACCTGTAACCAGGGCTGTTCCCTCATAATTCCACCTTCCTGCAAGGACAGCTCCACAATGTGCTTCTACACTTTTCTCCACTCTCCCTAGCTTGGAAATCAAGTGGAATTTCCCTAAAAAAAAAAAAAAAAAAAAAAAAAAAAAAAAAAAAAAAAAAAAAAAAAAAAAAAAAAAAAATAAAAAAAAAAAAAAAAAAAAAAAAAAAAGCGACAGCATATATAACTTACATCATTATAGATAATTAATTATATTACATTATTAATTACATGATATATTACTAAAGCAGTGCTGGTACCTTCTGTGGAAAACACACAAAGAAAGCAACAACACAAAGAGAACATCCAGTTGTTTTCACAGCTCAGATCACAACTATTCCTGCTCCCAGCAGCCACCCCCAAAGTTTGTAATGATTTCAACAGAAGGATCAGGAAGTTTTTCTTCCCAAATAAGGGATGCTGCTTAAATCCAGGAAGATCAAATTTAAACTGGAGCAAAGAGCAGACAATGGAGAGCTTGTAAAAATGAGCAGCCCAGTAACTGAAATAAATGACTTTAAAATAAAATTATTTTTATTTATTTGATCTAAGCTGCCAGACTGAACCACTGCAAGGAAGTTCCTGAGTGCCCAGAACTTTTGGCACTATCATCCAGCCAAATCTCTGTCAGTGCAAGATTTCCAAGGAAAAGATTTTTAACACTGATAAAAAAAAATTACAGTTTGGAGAAATCAGTTTATTTGAAGAGATCATTTAGAATTCCATGGAATCCCAGACTGGTTTGGGCTGGGAGGGACCTTAAATCCCAATTTAAGAGACACCCAATGAGCAGGGACACCTTTCACAGACCAGGCTGCTCCAAGCCCCCTCCAACACTTCCAAGGTGTTCATTTAATGCATTCCATTATTTTATAACTACAAAATAGAGTTTATCTCATAAATGTATCACTTATTGCATAGAACACCTCTCAGGTCTGAGATTTTCATGTTCCATGTATAAGCAATAACTGGATTTAGAGGAATTCAGTGTTCATTTCTCCAATTCAATTGCCAAAATGGCCTTTTCTGCTTCTGCATTAAAAACAATTTTTATTTTCTGAGAAATACATATTTTATTTTCTGCACCTTTTTCCATGCAGTGTCTTTGTTCCACCTGCATCCAAGACCTTTTTCACTGGAGAATCCTTAAACCAAATCTCCCAGGAGCAGGAATATTCCTGTGCTATCACCTACAGGACTCAGCATGAAGTGTCTGAGCTCTTCAGAGCCATCACTTTTTTCAGGATAAACAGAATTCCATGGGATTTTATATATTGAAACAGCCTCTACTGATCTAAGCAGAACACCTGGATATTTCTGTGAGCAATTCCTCAGCTCATAAGAGACAAATGAAATTCCAGTAAAAGCTCAAGCAGCTGGGAAGGAACTGAAGGCCTTGGCAAAGTGAAAATATCAGGAAAATGGGCAAAGTATCAGATAAAATCCTGTTATCCAGGGAAAACTCCACTGATTTTCCAATCTTTTGCATCCTCTCCCACTCCTCAAGCTCCTACTTCTCTCACAAGGCCCCTTCCAAAGAGGGAAACAGAGGAAATTGTAGCGGGGCAGGGAAGAACACGGTTACATGTAAAAGCAGGATCAACTTTCCAGAATTCCTCTGGAAAAAATGTGATCATCACTTAAAACTGTATCCTAATCCTTCTGCAGAAGAGGGAGATCAAGTTTTCAGGGATAGCAGCTTTACTTCTGTAACTTCTTTGCTTTTCCAACAGGGAGATTCACAATTGCTGCCAGTCAAATGCTTTTTCCATGGCATTCCCATAGGGAGGTTTCTCCATTTCCATGGATTTCTGTTCTTCAACTGAGGCAACAGAGACTTTCAAATTACAGCTTACTACACAAAAAAAGAGAAAATTTGAGCCAAAATGCCTGGAGTAGACAGAAGTGATTCCACTTAATCTCTGGTCCTTTTTTTTTTTTTTTAAGTACTGAAGAAAAAATGTCCTCAACCTGAAAATGACTCCCCAGTTTTGAAGGAATTCCCAATGGGAGAATCCCAGCCTATCCAAACATGGAATATAAAACATGTATGTTTTGTTCATTAACTTCCATGGACTCTTGAATGCTGACCTAATATAAAACTGTAAATAAAAAAAGAAAAAAAATGTTAAATCACTTACGATTTGTCCTTAATTTGAAGGTTAAAGCCAAAAATATTCTTCATTTTTGTCAAAAAATAGCAGCAAGACCAATGTCAGTAGGAAATAAAAGAACAATATTCCCCAAGAGATGCACTTCAGAAGAAAACCCAAGGGACTAAATTTACATTTGCTCTGATTTCCAACATCTGCAGTTCAACTAGGAATTAATGTAAAGACATTATGCTGCTTTTCCATTGGATTCAGCAAGTTTCCAGAAATCTTTATCACAGAGGGGAGTTTGCTGGTGCAGGAAAATTGCAGGAATAAGCTGGTGCAGGAAAATTCACACAGGAAGAAAAATCTGATTGGGCACAAGATCTATTTAGGAAGAGAAAAAAAAGAACCCATCCCAAGCAAACCTCAAAGCTTCTTGCTCCCCAGATAATGCCTTGTATTTGACTGAGATGAGCACTAAAGGGTACAAAGATTTTAAATTCACCTAAACATTTTAAATTGCTTTTGTCCCTGATTTAAAGGCAAGATGTTTTCTGTTTGCCATCTTGTGTTAAGTGAGCAGTTTTCCTTATCTCTTCCACAACCAATCCTCTCTTAGGGGAGACATCTGCTGATAATGGGCTACTGAATGTCACTGAATAACTCATAAGAATTAAGAATATCCCACTGGGAGATGCTCTGCCCTGAGGGAGGAACCAAGCATTCCCAGCTGGATATAATCTGTGTTTTTGGGACACCAGCACGGCTTTTCCTGCTCTGGATTTCCCAGAGGAATATCTACCTCTCCAGAGGAAGACTGCACCCTTTTCTGTGGGATCACTGCTCCAACAGAGCCACACCTGACACTCCAGGAGGATTTTAGCCACAATTCCAATTGCACTGCTGCCAACACCCTGACCAACAGTGTCAGGTTGTGTTCTGACTCTGCCAGTGTTGATTTGGTTCACTGCATTATTTGTCTTTTTAAAGATCTGTTATTCCTGCTTCCATATTTTTGCCTGAGAGCCCCCCTTAATTTCAAATTTATAACAATTTGGAGGGGAGGGTTCCTACATTTTTTTCCATTTCATGGGAGGCTCCTGCCTCACTTAGCAGACCTGTCTTGCCAAACCAAACAGCCTTACCATCAGAACTGGTCAGAACAAAGCTCTCAGCCTGGGATTGCTTCTTGCCACCAATCCCTCTGGGAAACCAGTGCAGATCTATGGGATAAACATCATCTGGAAGCTTCAGCACTCGAGTGGTCTCGCAGGTCACAGGGTTCCATTTCAGGATCTGGTGGTCATCGCTGCAGGAGTAGAGCTCGTCAGCTGTTGTCCAGCCCACACAGCTCACCAGGTCCTTATGTGTCCTTCAGCTAAGGAATCTGAAAATTTACCTATTAAAAATAATCAAATACCCCATCTATTCAGAAAGGACAATAGGAAGATTAGTTTGGTAAGATTGCGTGGAACGTTTAATACTTCAAATAAAAAAAAAAAAAAACTTCTTTTGTTTGCTCTTCTGTGTGAAGAAGAGCTGGTAAAAATTCAGCCAAAAATGAAGCAAATTGTCATTTCATAAAATGAATATATTTCATAAAAATAAAAATTCTTATCATGATGTTAAGTTAAAGTAATGGAAACATGGCTAAAATGTTGGGTTAGTGAAGGGTCTTAGTGCAAAATACAAGTGCAAAACATCCAACTATCATTCAAAAGTGTTGGTTTATTAACACCACATCATATTTAAGTGTTCAATATCTCTTAAAACATTGTCCTTAAAGGCTGCAGTCAATGACAAGGGGAACAAAGGAAGAACAGAAAAAAAAAAATAAAGGCATCTGCAATTTACTAATATTTCACTGTAACTTCAACAACAAAAGAAAAAGTTTTCTGGAAGCGTCTAGTCAGAATGAACACGATGTTCCATGTTTTTTTCTGTGACAAAGGATATGTTTTGGCTCCTTTAAAAGGGAAGTCTTCAGTCTCATCTCAGTTGTTCAGATGGAGCATTAAAACCATGTGTTATAACTGTAATAAAACAAATACAAACTGTATAATTAATGTAATATATATGCATACACAAGCAGCCAAAATGAAAAAGGAAGACACTAACACTACCATTAAAAGTTCTGAAGTTATATTACATCACTACTGGGGAAAAATAAGCACCTAGAAATACCTGAGTTTAAAGAGAATTTTGTTTTCACATTTTTCAACTTAATATGGACAACTTGAAGAAAAATTGATGCTGTGAACAGTGAATCCTTAAAGTTGGAAAAAACCTTTAATATCAAGCCTGAAACATCAGAGGTTGGAGCACTGGAGATCCCTTGTGCAGACACACAGCCAGGAAAGGGAAATGTGGTATTTTCCTTTCAAAGCCCAGAACTTTATTATAACTTTTAAAGCATTTTAATCGCTCTGTATGTGCTACTAAAAGGCTGAACGCCCACCCTGGGCCACCCACAGGTACATCCATCACTGCCAGCCCACGTATTCCCTCCGTCCCAAGGAATCCAGCAGGGCTCCGCTGGAATTTCAGGAGCGATGTGGCAATAACCGGGAATTACAAGCAGGAATTATAACTAGGAATTATCCCGATTCGCAGAAATCGAAGTGCCTGACGCCTCCTCCCTTTCCCATCCGGAGCTGCTGGCCCTGGAGATGAGGATCAGGGAGAGCGGGGAATGCCAGAGGGAAGGATGGGGGCAGCAGGGAAGGAATGCCAGAGGGAAGGATGGG